AGAAGTCCAGGTCATTTCCCTCACAGTATTCTATTATTGTACAACTTTGCTATTCTGGGGTGATCTAATTCTTTGTGAGTACAGTGTTCCCTACATGCATGCTTGTGGCAATTCTCCTTCTCATCTCTCCAGTTTTTATTTAACTGGTGAATTTGCACAGCTACATATCTTTGCTCTGTTAGATGAAATAAATGCCTTGTAAACTTCACTGAAACCTGCTCTGCCCAAAATATGTAACAACAAATATCTGTGATTCAGCATTGGCTGATCTTTAAATTATGAATTATCTTCGTTATGTATCATTTTTATGATACATTTTATGATAAGTGAATTTCTAACTCTTTCTAGCCTTTCCAGCTTCGCCTGGATCTCTGCTTCCTCCTTTTTCAGATGGCCAAATCTGAGTTTGAAGATTTTTTCTTGCTCATGGTGTTCTGCTACTGTTAATGTTTCATTTTTGGCTCCATTGGTCTTGCTTTTCCATTGTTTTTGCTCATTGGTTGCTGGAGGCGCCTGACCCATGGCAGGAGGTTTCTGCTTTGCTAACATTTTCTGCTGTCTTTCTATTTCTTGCTTCTGAGAATTTATCCTTTCCTGTTGCTTGATAAGATTTTGGAAAGCATGACCATCTGTCCATTGTTCAGTAAAGGAGGCCCCATGTCAGACACTAAAAGTGGCCCAATCTCAAGTGGTCCTGCATGTTCTTATCACTACATGACCTCTTTTCTTGTTTTGACCTTTTTGTAAGGAGTTTCTTGCTCATTGTGACCCACTTCTTTAATTGTTCTTTGTATTTCTCTAGCATCTTTTGCTGTTCGTCAATTTGCCATCTTAAATTACAGTTGGTTCTTAAATCATCTATTCTTCCTTTTTTCTTTTCTAAATCAGAATTCTTACTGTTTTCTAGTGCAGATGTTTTTTTTCTATTGTGAGGTCAGACTGGGTCTGTCTGTGCAAGTTGGAGATTTGCTTTTGGGAACTGCAGGAATGCTCTGCATTGCCAGATACTGTAGAAGAAGGACTGTTTTGTTGAGCTGATACAAAAGTGAAGCAGAGCCCAGCTCCCCTTTGTGCTAACTGCTCTATGTCAATTTGAGGTTTTGCTAATAGCACTGACATGAGGGCTGGCAGAGCAGATTGTTCCTCCAATGCCTCCTTTGCAGCACTGACATGTAAATCATAAAGGGGCTGCTTTATAAGGAATTGGATAAAGAATGTTGCATTGAGGATCTTGCAACTGGTGGAACACTTCTGCCAGGGCTGGTTCCTGGCCCACTTCCCAGAGAAAACTCAAAATAATCACTAATTTTATGTCCCCTAGGAGTGCCTTTCCCTTGGCTAGTTTCATATGGTTCAGCTTTTCTTTTCCGATTTTGCTGGTCGTTCTGCTTTTTCTCAGGAGTCTTTACCTCTTTATCACTTAAGGACCCCACACTGCACAAACTCTGGAAGACTCACTATTGGGTGGTCCTTGCATTTCTTGAGTGGGACAGAAAGGAATGGCCGAGGCACATGACCAACCAAAAAAATGGCTGAGAGCAGCAGGTACCAACAGTTTAAACTCAGATAGGTGTGGGACTGAGTCAATGAACAACTGTATGTATCCAGGCAAATCACTTAACTTCTATCTGCTCTGGTCTTCTCATCTAACTAACTCCAGTAAACCTGGCCTCTAATAATTCCTGCCGTCGGGGGTCCAGACTATGCAATTCTTCCATCATTTCTGCTGCCGCCACAGCTCCACACTCCTCCTGGAGGGGCTCCCGACTTGGGCAGGCCCAGGGCGGAGCTGGGGCCTCTCTGGAGTGCCACAAACTCCCGCTGTGGCAGTGGTCTCAGATGCAGGGCTACACAGGACAGGTGCGAGTGAGGGGTGTCGGAGGCCACAGATACTCAGCCAGATGTCTGACATGGGCCAGACCGGCCTCCTGTCGCGGGACAAAGGCCAAGAGAGGTGTAGGAGGGCCCAGGCCTGGCCAGAGGATGGGGGCCTGCTCAGCTTGGGTTTTTATGTTTTCAATTTTTAATATCTAAGCAGTGCTTATTTTCTTTCACTTTTCCTCTTAAAAATTACCTTTCGTGCTTTTGACACCTTATACTATTTTACTATTTAACCTCACTCCACCTCGCCAAATCAAACGGCCCTGAAATACTTGACTGATAAAAAGCCAAGTTGCAGTTTCAGCCTTGATCCATCTGGCTTGAAAGTCAATACATTAGGAATATAAATCTTTCCTACCCGAACGTATCATTGATAAAAAAGAAGGCAGGATACATTTGAGGTAACAGATATATTTAACCTGATTTAAACGTTGTACAATGTGTCCATGAAATGAAACATTGTATTTCATGAATATGTACTATGTTCATGCCACTGTGTATTAGTTAAAATAAATTTACAACAAAAGTTAACATAAAAGGAACAGAAATGAAGAACATGGAAAAGTGCAAAACTATAGAAGAAACCACTTTCTTTGCTATAGTTCTAAGAAAAAATGAACATATTTTAAACATATTTATCTCTTGAATCATAAGGTTTTTGCATGTGGTTAGCACAGGACACTTTAAATCGGTTATAGTGTACTCATTTTCAAGTATATATTTACCACGTAGGAACTTCACACATGTGCACCTTCCTTGTTTTATTCTATTTGATGACAATCATGAGTAGTTACAGTTACTTAAATCAGAAACAGGGAGCTCATTCTATCATCTCCCCTTACCACGTGATCTCTTAGCCTGGGTTATTCTTCACCATTCTACAACCCATTTTTCCTTAAACTATGATATTGCTTCCTTTGTGTTATATTTATTTCTTGCCTGCATCATTGAAATTGCCTTTAAAATTGTTCTTTTTGTTTCATCCTTATCCTTGTTACTTTGTTACTTACTTGGGTTTTTTTTTTTTTTTTTTTGAGGTACTAGGTATTGTACCTACAACCTCACCAATTCAGGACTATCACTCCACCTTTAAGTTATACCTCTGACCTAGACCTTTTTTATGTTTATTTATATTTTTAGATAAACCTCACTAAATTGCCCGGGCTGGTTCTAAACTTCTGATCATTCTGCCTCAGCTTCCCAAGTATCTGAGATTACAAGTATCACCTTACTTTTCTAGTTTACACTTGATAGGATAAGACAATATGACCTATCATTCAAAGTTCTACAATAGTTTGAAAATAGCCTAGGCAATAAAGTTCAAAATATGAATTATGCTATCCATGAATACTACTTATGTGTGTTTTCTTACACTGAGTCAAAGAGAAATGTCTTAGTAGAATTTTTGGAATCTGAACAGCAGTCAAATTCCACTAATAATATTTTGACAAGAGATGTTAAAGTCTATGTTTTATTCATTTTCTCTAAATATTTAATGTCTTTCAGAGTATTTATGGTATGGTTACTTTACATATTTATGTTTTGATGTTTCTACATGTTTTAACCTTATGTCTAGACTTTAACATTGTGTGGGTTAAGAAATAAATGTTTAAATTAACTATTATTTCTTCCACATAGGTAATCACTATTATTTTTATGACAGGTGAATATGTATGTGACCAATAAAAAGATAAAATGTACTAATATTAAAATATAAAGAATTATTTTTTCAGGTACCATAACATTGAATATTTTCCCCAACACACTGCTAAGAACAACAGCTCTTTAGTTCTTAGATTGTTATTCAGCAAGTAATTTGGTACTTCTGATATGAACTTAGCGATATTCATTGTTTGTGATACAAAAATGTACTTCATCCCTTCACACTATGTACAGGTTTTGGGTTGATTCTGAAGATGTTTTAGAGTTGCATCAGCAACGTTTCATTATTTCAGAAGTTTGCTAAGCATTGAAATGTGCAGATATACTTTTTCTTTAACCTCTGTTATATGTACATCCTATATATACCTGTGACATTCTGCTTGCTGCATCATGGAATCAGGTAGAAAGAAAAAAAACAAGAAACTGGATCTCATGTCTTGTTCTGGTTTTGTATCAGTACCTAGTGTTAGAGATATGGAGGAACTTAAGTTCTAAAACAGTATCATAGTGTACCTTTCTACTTATCTTCAACCCTCCCTATGGCAAGAAGAGTGATCTAGTTTATTAGTGAGTCTGGAATAAGAGGTGGGGGTAAATAGCTTAGTTCTCCTGGGTCTCGCTATTTTAATATGGAATATAGAGGAAGGACAAACAGTGTTCTGTACAGCCACCTAAATGTTCAGTGAAGTGTGCCTGGTTGTGTCTTAGGAACAATGTAATGTTCTGCAGCAAAACCTTATTATGTCTTTTTAATCATGTGTCATAATATTCATAAACACTCATTGAATGATTTCCCAGGTTTTACATTATTTAATGAAGATAAAGGAAATAAATGATTATGCTTATAATCTCATTGCAGTGTACTAGATAGTACAAAGAACTAGATATCTAAATAATGTACACATGCATCAAAATAAAGAAAAAATCCGAAATTTTTACATTTTTTTTATGTTCTATGTTTGGAAAAAAACCCAATAACGAAGTAATTTCAGTTACATTTTCCCCCTGGTTTACATTTGCTTTCAAAATTTAGTTAAGACTTTATATCACATACATATTCCACACACTGTTCACCTCCTGGAAATAAACATGAAGGTCATGCCACTGCACTGTTCACTATCCCAACAAGCAGTATTCTTCAGAGACCTCTACTCTTTAAACTTATAACATTCCAGGCTTTGAGGAAATGTAAGTGAGTTCATATTATTTTGTTTGCTCACTTGCTTGTACCTTATCTAATCTATGATGTATGATCAAACTATACAGTGAATGTTTAAGTTACAAAAAATTATTTCAGTAGAAGGTGCAGTACCATTAATGTTCCTCAAAATATTCCCTATTTCTTCAACCACAATTGTAAAATCATTCTTGTATTTTCTGAAGCAGTTGTTGAAATCCTCTTTCATGTCTCTAAGGTGTCATCAAAAAACGTTGAGAGCAACTGCCACGTACCATCCAATAGGAAGGCAGGTAAATGAACTGTAGAGGTGTATCCATGTCCACCTTATTCACCGCAACTGGCACTGTGCTATTTAAGATCCTTCTCCAACATTTAAATAACCATTACTGGTAAATTCTGAATTGATTCAGGACATTGAGGCAGCCATCATATCACCAGTAAGTACACTCGTGAAAAGATTTTCTGAAATTCCTTCTGAAAGGGACATGAGTGATAAGATTTGTGCATTTCAGACAGGGAATATTTTGAGGTATAATAATGTCAAAATATCTTTTCCTGTAATATTTTTAAAAATAAATTTTCATTGTAGCTCTCTTTTTTCTGGCCCCTTGCTGCCTTTTAGATCAGCTTCTTAGTCCTAATATGACAATGTAATCACTGTTTAATGCTGGTGACTTGGCAATGATATTACTGTGTATATATTATTACATGTGGTCTAGTCAAGTTAATTTATGGTGTGGATCATCCTCTAATAATGAATTGTAAATCACCAAATAGAGTGGTGTGTGTGTGTGTGTGTGTGTGTGTGTGTATGCACGTGCATCTTGAATATATTTTGCATTTTCTTAATGGCTACATTGCTAGCTCTTAGGATAAATTATCATATAAAATTAACTCTAATAATAGACTGCTCCTGTATTTTTCATCTTGAAAGGTGAGCAATAGCTTGATATGTCTCAAAACTAGGTTGCAGGGGTACCTGTGACCTAGAGGTGCAATAGACTTGAATTGACAATAGTGTGTGACTTACTCACTTTGAATGTGTATGATACTCCATTTAAATTTATTTTTCAGTGTAGCTTTAGAATTCTTCATCTTTGCTTATCAAAATATGGTTTATTTTATAATCAAGTAATGTCTGTTTTTAAATTATGTTGCTCATTTTCACAGGCTACTCTCATTACAGCAATACAGCTACTCTTAATAATGGTTTAATTTTTCATAGTCCCATAGCTTTGCAAAGTTTTAGATGTGGATTTAATCTCTTCTTAATAAGACCAGTAAAGAAATTTTTATTTTTATTATCCTTAACTCCATAACTCCTTAACTTTCATCAATAGCATAAGTTAAAGTGGAGGAAAAAAAAGAAAGAAAAAGAGAAAAGAAAAATATGGACAGAAGGTTGTAGCCAGACATGCTTTCACCAGAGCTGGTTCCACTGTGTGCAAAATGCCACTGAATCCGAAGATGCACAGTCCTGGTGAAGTTGTGGGTGGGCAAGCCCAAGGACCTTGGTGGGAGGATGTGGTCTGGTGGGGAGCAGAAGACCAGAGAATTGCAACAGCTCACAGTGAGTATGGGCAACTCAGTTCTCCCGCAGGAGTGGGTGATTAGCCAGGTGACATTTTGGAGTTGGGCAGGATAAGCCTAGAACCAGAATTGCAGCTGACTTCATTCAGCCACATCTAACACAGAGGAGATTGGTGAGAATTGCTTGGACTGAGTCCTGCCTCTGTGTGTGATCCAATAGCCAAGACCAAGATGTCCCTGAAGTTATCCCTAACTGGCCCACACCAACATGGTGAAGACTCCCAGTGGTTTACCAGCTCATAATGGAGGGGCCAGCCTGCCCTATCCCTGCTTGTACTCCAGCAGTTATGAGCAAACTGGGGAGGGCAGCAATCCCCAGTTTCATGCTTCAGAGAAAATAAACCAATACAGGAAGTGTCAGGGAGCCTCATTATCCACTTGTCTGGAAGAAACCAAAAACATGACAACAGGAAGAAATACAAGGCAGTCTCCAGCCTCCAACCCAAGCAGTACTGGCCCAGGACAGGTAAACACAGAAGAGACTTAGGGTTGTACATCTACAGTTTCTGAAGAAACATCATTTGACATAAAGAAATGTCTTCATGAAATTACAATAGAACTTTACAAGTAAAGGAAAATATAAGAAAAATAGTAAAAGAAATGCTAAGCACCTCTCAAGAAGACACAGATGGAAGAATGGAGGAGCATAGAAAAAGGAAGGAAACCTACAATGAAGAAAAAAAAATCTAGAATACATGGAACATTCAAAGAGATTACTAGGAAATTAAAAACTGCATTAAAACCTTGCAAAACTGCTTGAAAGAAACTAAAGATAGACTATCGAATCTTGAAGACAGGTCTGCAACTTGTGATCCTGAAAGGAAAGATCTCCTAACAATAACAAGGAAATAGGAAGTAACAATACAAAGGCTAGAAGATGACAAAGGGATCTATAACTTAAGAATAAAAATTGGAGTGAAAAAGCAGGGGTAAACACAAATGAAATACAAAGGTATTTACATAAATAATTAAAGAAAACTTCCCAAGCTTAGGAAAAGGAAATTATATTCAGATAAATGAGGCAAACAGAACCCTAGCCAGCTGTAATTCCGAGTCTTAAAAGAAAATAGCCTCCAATCCAGATTGATGCATCCTGCAAAACTATCACTCAAAATTAATGGAGACACAAGATGCTTCCATGACAAAGAGGAACTGGGGGAGTTCATGTCTACCAAACCAACCCTACAAAACATACTGAAGGACGTTCTAGAGAGAGAAAAAAGACAATGGTTTCAAAACCGGTGGCAGAGGGGGCTCACTGAACAGGACAGACATTGGAATGAAGGGGAAAAGTAGACAACCAATGGCAGAAAAATAGCACGACAGAGATCAGGCAGAGAAGGTTGGTCAAGATCACTAATATAGATGGCCTCAATACACTAATAAAAAGAAACACTGGCAGAGTGGATCAGGAGGTAGGGTCCATCAAGATGCTCTATATAAGAAATATAATTAACCTTTTGAAAGAGGGTCTATAGACTGAAAATCAAAGATGAGAAAACAATGCTCTGTGTGACAGGGAGCCAGAAAAAAGTGGTGGTAGCTTGCCCATCAAATGCAGATTTGTTGGAAAGACATGACAGTTTTATACAATGGGGAACTGCTCAGCTATAACGAAGGAAAACCTTGAGGCTCTCATAGGTAAATGGATATAACTTGAGATCATGCTCAGGGGTAAAAAGTTCAGAACCACTTAGGTAAATAGTGGATTGCCTCCATAATCTAAAACCTAAAGGAGTTAGTGGGACACAAAATGTACAATGCACCCTGTGAAAGTGAAAGAGGAGGAATTGTCTAAAAAGGAAAGGCACGTGATTTGAAACCCATATTGTTTTCATCGCTCTGTTCAGTTTGGTTATATTCTGTTCCAGTTTGTCTACTTGTACTAGATTTGATGGCATGGACAGCTATTCCAAAGATACCAGGATATACTGTGGTAACCATTTTTAATTTCCTATTAACCTAATCTGAAACCTTGTATTGCTTTCACTGTCTTGCTTTGACTGATTTTATTTGAACCTGTTTTGTTTGATAGCATCAAGTCTGAGATTATAGGCAACTACTCTGAGGACAATAAGATTCACTATGAAATCCGTTCTGGTTTGACTATGTTCTTTTTAAGTCCTATAATGTCTCCATGTTTTGTTTTTATTGAATCTGTTCTGCATGCTATGTTCAATTTTATTGTGCCTGATGATATGGGCAATTCTATTTAAGTAACAAGAGACATCATGGTAGCCATTACAGATCACTTTGCATTTTGGGTTTAAGTCATGTACCATGTCCATCATTTTGTTTTGACTGACCTCATTTTGTTTTTTCTCATTTGGTTTAATTCTCTTCAAAGTAAAAAAAAAGTAATACAAAAAAATAAATATATATTGACTATATTAATTTTGTTAAATATGCCTTTATTTTGACTGATTTAACATTTTTAATTGCCTAATGTAAAAGCTATTAAAGAATTTATCTATTTATTTGTTTTTTGAAGAGACTTCTTTTTATTTGACACAATGTGATCTGTTTGAAGTGAAATAAAGATAAAAACTATATTTTCTTGCATTGTTTCTATTAGTATAAAGACACATATTCTATTGTCCATCTATGTATGAAAAAATGATTTTTCAAAATTAATAAGTATCAAATAAACTAGTGCTTAAAAATCTAATCATAAGAATAATCATTGGATCAAGAAATTCTGCTCATTGAACATGACTTGAATTTAGAAAAATGAGTTGGAGAGAAGGCCCTAAAATAAAATTTCACATATTTTAAGTGTTAACTTCTCTAAGATCTTAGAAAACTTTCATTTTCTAAAAAAAAAAAACAATTCTAACATTCTGATTCAATATTTTTCTTTAATAAAATATTATTTTGTTTTAATTAAGGAAAAAGTGTGTCAAAGTTTAATTCAAAACAATGACAATAATTTCTATGGCACATTTCATGGGTACAGTGTGACATACTTTGTGTGTACATGTCCATTTAATTTGTGTACAGCTAAAGCTACTTTTAACTAATGCATTAACCCTAGAATTATTTTTACCTTATTTAAACATATTATGCACTGAAATGATTGAGGGTTAATTTAAATATTATGTTGTTCTACTATTTGGATTTTAAATAAATATTTTATGGAGAAAGATGACAAATATTTTCAACTCTAATTTTATTTGAGACCTTTGATCAATTCACTTACTATGAACATATATATCAGGCTTTCTAGAAAATTTGAATTTAAGCCACAGAAATTTATTATTTTATATTATGCTTTGAGTTAAGGGAGAGTTTTGCTGAAGGAATGTCCTCAGTATTTCATTTTAGACATGTTTAACTCCTAGATTCTGTATACCTTTGACTCATTTGAGAAAATAATTTTAAATTTTCAATCTCTTTTTTTCCTTATTAAAGGAGCTGCTTTGTGCCACCTCCTGTAATTTCAACTTCAGCTCTTATGCATTAGTTTGAAAATGGCTTTGAAATATTGAAAGAACTTTGAGATTTTCCAAGTTATCCAAAGAATTGGAAGAAATATTTAAAATTTAATTCTTGGACAATAGTTTTAATTAAATAAAAGTGGTTTAAAAAACTATAGTGCATGTTTTAATTAAAAAACTTCTACAGTAAAAGACATATTGCCATTAAAAAATGGAATGTGCTTGAAGCAAGTGGGAGCTTTTCTACTTGGAGGATGATTAATGACTATGTGCCTTTCACTATAATAAGCAGTTTTATTTAAATATTCATTGTGCCTTTTGATTATATGTCCTTGATCAAACGTTTACAGCAATTTCTGTGAAACAAAAATGTTACAGTCTGTTCTTAACCACCTTACTCACCCGATCTT